AGCCACTGAGCCGTTCCAGGCCTCATTCGAGACAGGACTAGGGTTGATGCTCGGTGTTTGTATTCTAGCAGTATTGACTTTGGCAAAGCAGGAGCTGTGACTGGTTCTAGTGGGTCTCCATAGATGGCAAAGGCTTCTGGGTCTAGGTCTGCTGAAATGCTGGAAGGAATACCGAGGAGACCAGAAGTGTGTTTGCAATAATATTAAGGGATGAATATCATCTCCGTCATCTTCTGTTATGCTGCCAGGCCTCCACAAGAAGTTTCCGGTAGCACAGTTCACGCTGACTCAATGTCTGTAAGCATATGTCTGGCCACTGCTTATTGGAGAGTTCCTGTAGCTTAAAAATGATTCTACTTTATTTCAGCAGGTGGCACGTAGCAGTAGGCAAAAAAAAAAAAAAAAGAAACAAAAGAACAAAAGAAAATAGTTCCCTATCCATTGTTGCCAGCTGCCTGAATAGCTAAGAAAGCTAAACACTATATAGGTTTCTTTTCAAATAAGGCCAAATTGCAGGACATCTTCTATTACTGCACCAAACATCACTGCAGATGTCAATGACATTGGATCTTTGATTTTCTGGTTACAGAATAATATGAAATTAAAGGAGAAAATTATGGCCATAAATGCCTCTCAGAAAATTGTAGTATACAAAAGCGCTTAAAATTACTAAAGAATAAAAGAGTGACAGAAAAAAAAAAAGGCTAGGTAAATTTATTTGTTTGAATGTTGTGTAACAAAAGCAACAGGAAGGTGACTTGGGTCCCTAACATTCAAACTGATTATGAAGAACGTCCAAATCCTAAAGGCACAGTGGGACTCTTTTTCTTTAAGAAAAGGGAATGACATGGTTCTTCCTAAAGAAGGCAGCTCCGTAAACTTTCCAGCTATGACGAACACTCATAATGTACTCTTAAAACAACCAAGAGGAACCTGCAGACAAAAAATGAACACGTGCTTTGTCTGAAAGGACAGAAAACACATTTCCTGACAGGTTTGGCATCATGTGCTCAAATACTCCCTGTCCCACAGTCACATGCTGGAGATTCACTTCTTGTGAAATGCCAAAGCTGTCAGTCACAGTGATTTATTGCACGCTGCATTCCCAAGACATTTTATGAACAGAAGCTGAAATTTCCAGAAGCTATTAGAATTCTTTTAGCCTAAAACGGATATGTGCAACGAAACTAAGCAGAGAAGATAATGTATTCTAGGAGACAACCACAACCCAGTATGGATATTATTTTAATAATATGGATCTCACAGATCGTCAGAGATAATATTACAAATAAGTATCACGCTTTAAATCGATTAATAAATATTTGAACGCAAACACTTACCACTGTGTAAAATTCACAGCTGATGTAACAATTTAAACCAGCTTGACACCTGCAGAAGAAAAAAAATTCAGTACCTCTTACGCATGAAGAAGTATGCACATGGATGATCACATATATATTCACATACACTCTCATGCTTTGAAATAAAGAGCCGATTGAAGTTATATCCATATACCGAAGATGCTTACGCTTTAAAGAAGAAGGGAGAGGGAGCAAAATGAAACTACGTGAAACACAGTACAAAGCAGCAATTAGCCTGTGGTTTTTGGTACATAAAATGCTGGTCACATGAGTGTCTTTCTACTCTGCAGAGGTCAGGCTAGCCAGTGGACGGAAATGCTGCGAGTTCCCCTGACTTGTAACAACAGCAATAAAGACTCGCTGACTGCACAGCAGGGTCAGGCCTGGGGCATGCACGTGTAAGTTCAAGTGTTCTCCCAAGGAAGTCTGAAGTAAGAAAGTTAGCTAAGGAAGAACAGTTTTAATGTCAGAAAACCGAGAGCTTGATTCCTCCAATTTCGGTCAGGCTTGTTACTTGCCTTAGGAACATGGCGAGCTCCAAAAAAAGGCAGGCTGTACTTCCACAAACACGCTCCTCAACACTTCCAGGCGTCCGGAGGCTTTCTCAGTCTGTGAGGCCTCCTTGCTGGGATTTATCCTAACGTGGTGCTGCCTGGCCGGGGTTACCGAGGGACAGCTCTGCGCTCGAGCAGAGTGGATGAATACATCTGCCTCTCATCCCCTCGATGATGGAAAGTTTCCACGAGCAGATTCTCACCCTGAACAGAGCCTAAAACCTCCGTTAAGGCTGACAGAATGTAGGGCTGCTCTGGGTGATAAAAAGTTGCGTGACAATAAATAAGGCTAATGCAAAGCGCTGAAGGTGATATTTAATTACAATTCACATACAATCCGAATGGTTTTTTGGTACTTTATTGGCATCGGTAGCAACAAGTCTGGACTACTCCCAGTTACTTCACTGCTACCCAGTATACTGTGTCTGATGCAATACGTTTTCAGAGCAGCCAGATGCACAGTACCTGCATTTTCCTGCTTCTTGAATAGAAGACGGTTGCACAGAAGATGCCATCAAAAATCAGCCACAGTTCTCACTTAACAGCTGATACTGAATAGCTGCTAACAATTCTGTCAAATCACTCATCTACTGCAATGGCCACACTTCAATACAAGTAAGGGCCGACCATTTCAGTTGTCTGCGATTTGGATTGCTCTTTACATCAACTCAAAAATGGGTAGGCAACGGTATCTTTTTAGATCCACGTATACAAGGAGCAAAGCAATGAAAAATGAATTCCTCACAACCTTCAAACCACTGAGAGAGGGAACATGGAAGACCTGAGGGAGCAGAGCCAACGTAAAGGCGGAAGAGAGACAGCACACTGTGTGAAAGATGGACACTACATGAAATAATGATTGTCAAACATTACTTGGTTAGAGTAGAAAGCCAAAAACCACTAAGCTTCTAGAAGATCATTAGAAAGATCCACTAGATGAAAGGTCTTTAGGGAAGAGGACTAGCACTTTCCAGTTGCCGTAGGGCATGGAGATAACCAACAATACAGCTTTGAATTCAGCCTTTTTCAAAGATTCTAGGAATTAAAAACGCCCTGGAAATAACATTTTGCTCTCGGAAGAACAGTGATACATTTCATATTTGTGGCCTAAGGAATTTTCAAATCCCTTTTATTCACACAAGCATGCATTAGTCTGCTCATATCTTATGTGAACAGTAACCTATCATAGGTAATATACATTAATAATGCACACTTGTATCATCCCTTCCAAAGGATCTCAAGTGTCCCCAGAGACGTAGGCAGAAAGGTCCAGTTGGGAGTATCTTTGTGCTGAAGCCGTGGACGTGCCTCTCACCCACCACTGCAACACAGCCAATCTAGGAATAAAAGTAAAATTGGTGGAAGTGCCTTATCTCAACTTCCTTGCTCGTGGGAGTAGCGTATTTCACACAAGCATGATCTGACTACGGAACAGTTACAAATACTGAATAATACTGCTTAAATATCAAAGGACTTAAAAAGGGGTCAGTTTCCTCGTTGCTGTTTTGTGAATGCAGGCTGCTCACAACGCTTTGGTTCTAACTTACGCTGCTATGAGATAGAAACGCTCATGTTCACCATGATCTAGAGGATTACTGCGAATGAGAGTTAAGCAGGACTGCTGTCTCACAACACATCATGTCATACTGAGTTTTAGACAAAAGAATAAAGAATATTTAAGGGAAACCACGGAGTTAATGCAAGTAGTCCGAATGCAGTTATCTGAGTGTTTTTAAAGACACGTGCAACCAACGCAAGAAGAGGTGACCCTCAGAACAGAAGGATTCAGCAAGCTTCTTCAGTCTCAGCAGTAGAAATACTGGAATGTAAAACATCACAGTGATTGATACCTAATGTATGTACCTCTGTGGACAGGTAGATTGCATAAGAGGCAAAGTTAATGAAACTGCTGCAGTATTTCTCCTCTTCTTGTATAAAAATTAAGTAACTGTGGAGACCTATGCAAACGGATTTAGAATTTGGCCACCATCATCACCTCACTGCAAATGACACGGTGAACAAAATGGCCCTATTTTTATGTCTACTAACTCCAGCTATACGCCAGTGAAAATTTATGAAACTGCATGTGACAGACCTACAGATGATAAAACTATCCCTCTCACCGGTGTTAGCTAATATACCTTCAAAGAATTTCATTTAAATGGATTTTTAAATACTATGATGGTTGTTACATTAAAATATACAGGGCAGGAAATTCAAAGACTTATCAGCTTGAGAGAGATTCATTAGAGTGCGATGTATTAGTCTGTGGACTCATCTCCCTGATGAATTGGCCTCATTGCACTGAAGATTTAAAATCAGGCAAGAAAACATATTAGAAAATACTCTATAGCAAAAGCTGCTGCTCTGGGAGGCAGCTGGACTAACTACACTAATAGATCCTTCCCCTCTTGAAAGCCTATGAATCACGACCAGGAGTAGAAATTAGCACAAATATCAGCTGGTGTAAGCCCAGGTCTAGGCAGCCCACAGGATTTCAGCAAGAAAAGCAACAAGAAAAGGTTTTGAAATAAATCAGATGGGTACAGAATGAGGTAGTTACGCCCAGACTTGGAGAACTGAAGAATAAATCAACTCAGGGCTCAAGTGAAAGAAAAGGCGATCAATAAGGATGGAAAGGGAATAACTCCAGTTTATCTACATTTTCTCCACTTTCACATATATTCATTTTCTATGCTATTTTCACTTTGATGTCTGTCTACATTTTCATTCTCTTTAAACGTCTTTGCTTCTTCAGTGAGTGACAACTTTTTGTTCCTCCTTTGTCTATCTTCTCTCCATCATCTTAGAGCCCTTTTGCAGTCTTTCAATGTCTCTCAAGGGAAGAAGCACCTCACAAAATTAAGTACGCTCCTCCGAGTACAGATAGTCTGGGGGATTTACTTGCAGCTGCAGTAAAGACAGGCCAGTTATGCCATCTTTTTCAAATTCTGTTTCCTTACACGTGGACTCACCAGTTAATGCTCTGACGTTCAAAGCAGGTTTCCCATTGCCTGTGAATGCTCTACCTTTTTTAAATAAAGGTCAATTATTTACATACCTAGATGAAATTCTTGGCTTTCACAAACGTGACACATTGAAACAACAAGACTTCCAAGATCCACCCTTAAATTTCTGCCTGTCTGTTTCCTTCTATGAGAAATGGACTCAATGCTGTTGTGGGGTGAAACTGGTGGGATTCTTCATTTAAATTACAGTGTCAAAGAACTACACTCCTTTATGAAATAACAGTCTCTTAAAGTAAAATTAAAATAATCTCTTCAAACATCCAAAAACAAAGGGTCATACAAAGCCATGGTAAAACATGATTTACTGGGGCCTGGTGAATATTGCTTGAGCAGGAGTGGGCGTGGATGTGTGAAACAGAAAAAGAGAAGTGAAGAGCATCATAAGGAAAGGAAAATCACGAAGGAGCTCCAGAGAGCTGGATAAGCTTTGTCTGTAGCTCCATAAAGAAGGGAAGAGACAGAAGTCTGAAATTAAGAGCCAGCAGAAAGCAGCTGGAAACAGGAACAAAGACTCTCTTATTTGATTCCTCTTGTCCTGTTTCCCTGACACAGGACAAGAAGTTTTCCTGTTTTCCTTCTGCTCTTTCTGGGTAAGCAAGGCAGTATCAAAGATGAGTTTCACTCATGAGGATTGTATTTGTCAGTTTTACCATCAGTTTTTCCTCCTACATGGAGTAACTTGCAATCCCCCAAATCTTTTAACACCCTTGAGGTCAAAATGATTAATTATACTTATTTTTCCCCAAGTGGTACAGTGAATCTATAGTCATTACTTCTTACCAGGCACTTCAAGATTCTGGTGTTTCTTATCTTATGGATAGGCAAAGAATCATTCGTTAGAAGTAATAAATATCATTAAACACTGTTTTGTGCCTTCTGCTTCGTTGACTTTTTCTGTCACAAACTTTCAGTTGCTGCAATTATTTTTCATTTGCAAGTTTGCCAGCAAAAGGTTTAGAAATCAAAGCACCTGCAACACTTTCCATTCCTCTCCTCCAAAAAGAACTAAAACCCAGCTCAGAACAAAAAACTGAAGCTGGCAGATTTGACGTGACATGCACAGAGTTTTAAACTTTGTGGAACTTCAGAGCTCCAAAAGCACCAGTGTTTACTTTGATGGTCTGCACAGATTTGATCCTTTTTCATTCAGTTAATATTCAGTTAAGGTCTAGGAATAAAAAAGTAGTTTGGGTAGAATAAGAACCGTGATAAATTATAAGCAGGACATTAAAACTATTCATGGCATCAGCAGAAATTGCCAAAACCATAGGAATCATCTGACAACATGTGACTGATGCAGAAACAGAAGATGAAACCATAATGCTTATTTTTGCACTTTCAGCTCAAGGAAGTGCACTGAAGAGCTAATTTTGACACTTTGGATGAGCTCAGTGGTTTAGGGTCATGTCACATGAGTACAATGTCCTCTTATTCTTCACATAGCATCTGCACTGAAATAGTCAGAACCCTTCCCTGCCCCCAAACACCCCTGACTTAAAAGCAGTAAATGAGAACATGGAAACTAGCCCTTTATAACCTAGCTAACTTACAGAAACAATGGTGAGTAAAGAAATGAGTACTGAATTCATCTTTTAGAATTTTCTTTCTAGTTTG